AAAAACCAGAACAACAAATTTCCCCCATTCCAGCAGAATATTTATTGTGTACCTACAGCAAGCCAGGCCTCCTCACACACTGAGGGTGGCAGAAGAGGGTTTCATATTCACCGTGCCTGACGAGTTCTGATCACTGTTCCAGCTCAGTGAAACACATGGCAAAGATCACCCAGGCCGTGCTGCTTTGGATTGATCCCCTCACAGAATAAAAAAAAAAAAAACCCCTCACATTCTCCTTCCTGTAAAGCTGCTGCAATGAGATTTAGTGGATTATGCAGCCCTGCAACAAACATCCCATTCTGCTGCTCAGTAATACCCACTCGAGGGAAGGGGCCCACGCTTTGTCCCATGGCTGCACTGGGACAAGGGCCTGTTTGTTCACTCTGCCCTGCACGGCTCTCCCCACTTCCAAAAACCACTCAGCTGAGGAATTGAGGTCACACGAGGGAGGCTGGGTTATAAATACTTTAATCCTTGTTCAGCTCCCTGTTGCTATGGGGAGACAGGCACGTCTGCAGTGCCACACAAAGGGACGTGAGGCCTGCACAGCTGCTGGGTCACTGCCAGCCAGCCCTGAGTGTAATCAGAAAGGAAAGCTCACTGCACTGCCACAATAAGGCTGATATTCCTGCACCCAGCTCCTCCTGGGACTCTGGGAAGGGAAGCTCCAGTTAGAAACAACATATCTCACCCTGATTTTTTAAGATTTTTCTAAGCCTTTTGATGTTTGCATTCTTGTGACAAGCTTTCTGTGAATAACTCATTGTTTTGCATTATATATAGAGGAGGAGAAACTTGATGGATTGTTGGTTTGTCCAGTGTCATTGGAGAGGTGGCACTGGCACTTTTAAAAAATTATAAATGTTAAAAAGTCAGAAAATAAACTTCAATTTTCTTCACCTTGAGAGCAGCAGTGTGTGTGCACTCATTTTGTCCTATAGTGCCCTGGGGGCACCTCACACCTGTGCCAGTGCCCTGGGGGTGCCACCCTGATGTTTTTAGATTTTCTAAGCCTTCTGATGTTTACATTCTTGTAACAAACTTTCCCACACACTTTTTGTAAATAACTTATTGTTGTGCATTATCTGCAGAAGAAGAGAAATCTGATGGACTGTTGGTTTGTCCAGTGTCATTGGAGAGGTAGCACTGTCACCCCTCCAATCCACTGGCACATTTAGCAATCTATAAATGTTAAAGTCAGAAAATAAACTTCCCTTTTTTCACCTTGAAAACAGCAGTGTGTGTTGTTTTGTGTCCTACAGTGACAAACATGCACTGGAGCTTCTCATCCCACACACAAGGAGTGAGCAGCTGGTGGCCTGCCCCCTTCAAAGCTCTGGAACACCCAACAGCCAGAGCCCAGCTGAACACCTGCTTAAAATCAGGAAATCCCTTTCTAAGAGGATATTTGTGGCACTAAACTGCCCCTTTCTCCTCCTTTTCGCTGCCCATAAAGAAAGGAGAGTGCTGGGCCTCACCACAACTCTGTCAGCCCCACCCCTGGTTACAGCTGAGGCAAACACCAGCTGCTTTCTGGGATAAAAAAAACTGATTTTTTTTTTATGATTTTTTTATGCCCAGGTTCTAACCTTGCCCTGACACTCACGTGTAGCTGGTGGAAGCACCAGGCTCGTTGTCCTCCTTCAGGGTCTTCTCCTTGTGAACCCACTTGTGGCCAGTGATGGTGTGTTGGGGATCAGACATGTTACACCACAGGGTCACCTTGCCAGCATCCACAAGGAAATTAGTAGCAATATCTGGGCCTGCATTGATAAAAAAAAATTGGATTTAAGTTAACTCAGGGTACAACAGAGCTGACGTGGCGCCCCAAGAACCTGCAATGCAAACCCCACAGAGCTCCTTGTCTCTATTCCCAGCTCCCACTTACCTTCAACACAGCTCCCTACCAGACCTGGCCAGCACCAGGGTGTCCCCAAGGGCAGTGCCCAGCCCTGGGATGGCCCTGCAGCTGCTGCACACCACGAGCTGCTGTGTCCTGCATCACTGCAACCTCTGCTGTGTCCTGCATGGCTGGGTGCAGCCCCAGTGCTCAATAAGCAATGGAAAAGGTCACTCTGAAGGGCAGAGCACGGCTCTGCTGCTGCTGGGAGCCACCACAGAGCTCGGGTGGCGACACCTGCCAGCACCTGAGCAGCTCCAGACACCTGCAGGGAGCACGGAGGGCAGCCAGGAGCCTCTGAGGTGACACAGGATGGTGTGGCAGCCCCAAGGGTTTGGGGAGAATGGCTCCAGGGAGAGCACAGAGCTGGGGCTGCCAAAGGTCCTGGGCCTCCTCCATGAGCCAGGCAGCAGTAAATTATGCAAGCTAAGATGACTCAGGCATTTCTGCTTGCAGGAGGATGTCCGAGAAGGCAGCTGCCATCAGCAGCACCACTGCACAGCCCCGGTGCCACTGCAGCCCCTGCCCTCCCACCCCAGCTCTTGCCAGGACATTTTGCATTTTCTCCTATCCAAACTCCACTGGAAGAAGGGTTCTGCTGGAGCTCTGCACTCCATTCCTGCTGAAAAGGCAGCTCTCCTAACTCCAGCACTCACAGGGAGACCTCAGCAGGATTTTATCCCCCTCCCAAGTTTCTAGCTCTGGAAGCAGCAACACACTGTGAGCGGGATCCTTTCACAGATATCTTTTTATGTAAAATCCTTTCCTTAGGATTTTTTCCTCCTGAGAAGCTCAGAAGCTTCAGGAACAAAATGTAAGCAATGGTTATCTGCTGCTGTGGAATGCAACAGGTGCATCTGTGATTGGTCTTATGTGCTTGTTTGTAATTAATGGCCAATCATAGTTTGGCTGTCTCGGACTCTGTGTCCGAGCCACAAGCCTTCCTTATGATTCTATCTTATTATATTCTTAGCTAGCCTTCTGATGAAATCCTTTCTTCTATCCTTTTAGTATAGTTTTAATATAATATACATCATAAAATAATAAATCAAGCCTTCTGAAACACGGAGTCAGATCCTCATCTCTTCCCTCCTCCTGTGAGCACCGTCACAGGAACCCAGCCACATCCACAGGACAAGCAACACCACCAACACTCAGGTGTCACACAGACACGGCCATTTCAAAAACGGTTGCATGTCTCAGACCTCAAAAGCAAGATTTGTGGTTTTTTTTCCCCCACCAAGAGTCTGGGTTCACCATAACACGGAAGCGAGCTGAAAGCAGGGCTGCTGCAAGGAGAAGGAGCTGGATGAGCTGCAAGGAAGGGCTGCTGGTCAGTGGTGGTTGGGGAAGAGTCGACCACAGAATGAAGGTTTAATTCTGCAGCCAGGCGCTCAGGGAAGCAGCAACTTCCAGGTTCTTTGGCTCCGGAAAAGGCGCGGGATGGCCGGAGGGCGAAATTTTATTGATCGGGGAGAAGCCACAACCCTTTTTGAGCAGCAGGGTCAAGTCACAGGTAGTGGTGGTGGTGGTTTGGGGGGACACATCAACACAGGGTGGGAGCCTCTGACTTCTACAGCCGGGGTGGGAGGGTGGGGAGAGCTTTCAGGACACGGGTGAGCACGGGGGTGAGCACGGCGGGAGACTCGAGACACCGGTGTCCGAGCAAAGTGCCAAGGCCTCGGCGTGTGGCCACTCACGTTCGATGACAAAAACGTTCGCCTGGGAACGGATCCACTTGACTTTGGGGCTCTTCGACAAGTGGTTGCGGTCGGGGTCGTTGCTGGCCCGGCACTCGTACATGCCCGAGTCGTCGGCCGTGAGGTTGGCGATGGAGATGGTGCTGGTGGAGTGCAGGTTGTAGGTGGCGTTGATTTTGACACGGTCCTGCCGTGCGCCATCCCAGAGCTGGGCATGGGTCTCATTGGGGTCGTTGCCCTCAAACCACCACTGGATCTCGGGGATGGGATTGCCAATCGCCTCGCAGTACAGCTCCACGCTGTCCTGAGCCAGTCTCTTTTGAGACAGCGGTGACTTTATAAAGCCAGCTATGAGTTGGAGAGGTATTAGTGCAAAGTGTTAGTGCAAAGCAAGAACTCACCTTCCAGCAGCAAAAACAACACTCGGTGGCTGAGGAGAGGCTGCAGGGTGTCTGCACATCAGCGTGCTCATCCCTCCCTCCCCTCCACACTCTGAGCCCTGCCTGGCTCGCTGGCATTCTGCATCTCCACGGCAAAACCAGCACTCGGTGAGTGCCACCATCCAAACCAGCACTCGGTGAGTGCCACCATCCAAACTGCAAAACCAGCACTGAGTGCCACCATCCAAACTGCAAAACCAGCACTGAGTGCCACTATCCAAATTGCAGAACCAGCACCCAGTGCATGCCACTCTTCAAACTGCATCTCCCACCTGCTGTGAGACACAGCCCAAGGCCCCTAAGCATGATAAAACCACTCAATTTGTGTTTCAATGGCTTATGCAGCCCCCACATTCCCCAGCCTGTGCTGCACAGGTCACATCAGCATGGAAAGCTGGGGACAGCAGGACCCTGAGCCCGCTCAGAGCCAGTTTAATTAAGACAACAGCAATGAGAAAAGAGCTTCCCTGTGGCCTCAGGAGGAACGTGTCTGTTCCCCCTCAGTGCACAGCCCCAGGCTGCCTGACTGTAATTGGGAGCTGGCCGGGGTCCAGACCCCCCCTTGCTGAGCCATGGCACAGCCACACGTACCAGCCACAGCCAAATGCACCAGCTCACACCCTCCTTCCATCCCTCAGCCCCCAAAATGCCCAGCAGGAACCTCTAAGCACAACCCCGCGCTCAGAACTTTTTTTGGGAGAGGTGAAAATTCTCGCAAACCGCAAGGTGTCACGAGGCAGGTGAGGAAAGGTGTAAATTTGTTGTCATACAAACAGAGAAATCTGATTTTTCATCTCAGGCAAGACCAGCCTGCAGAGCTGAACGGGCAAACAACAGACCAGAGGCACAGGCAGCAGCTGCAGGCTGGAATTTGGGTGTTTTTCACTCTGCCCTCGATGGAATCAGCCAGTCCAAAGGTCGGTCCCTATTGGAATTAAATACCTGCCAAACAACCCTGGGGCTCCAGGGCAGCAGCCCCAGCCCCAGGAGCCCTTCCCAGGGTGGGCAGGAAGGGAGGCTCAGCAGCTCCACTTGGGGAAAATCCATCAGGCACAAGCAGAGCTCACTACGTGACCCAGCCCCAGCCAGGTTCCAGATGGAATTAAGATTGAGACACATCCTTCCTGTGCTAACAAGCGCCCCAAGAACCTTCCAGGAATTAATTCACTCAGTTAAAAGCACTTGGTGATTACACACAACCCTCCATGGATGTACAGGCAAAGAGGAACTGGGCTTAGGAGAAGTTTTTTGGTGGGTTTTGAAAGCCTGAAGATGTTTCAACAAGAAATCCTAAGAGGAAGAAATCAGTGTCACAAAACCAAGTTTGCTCAAACTCAGTAAGCCACAAGTTAGCCCATAAGCTAAGCTTGACTCCTAAAGAAATTAATTCCATATTTTTTTAAGGAAAAAGTAGCTTTTCCTACTAATGCTATGAAAGTTTTGAAGAATAAGTAAGGCTGAAAGAGAAAGGATCCCTAATTGTGGGGTGACTAAGGCACTCTTAGGAGACGGCAGACGTCAATTTTAACTGAGTAGGAGGTTCAGGGGTACCCACAGATGTTATGGGATGGGGCCATCAGCTGGGTTACATTCTCATAACCACACCAGAAGGGTTTTTTCCACACCACAGCCCTGTGATCAAACACTCCCAAGGCTGCCAAGCAGCCCTGGAAGTGCCCCCAGCACTTTGTGTGAGCCCCGTCTGCTCCGAGCGCAGCTCGAATTAAAGCGGGAGCTGGTAAAGATCAAGGGGTTTTACAGCTACAAGGTGATTACTGCACGCTGACAAAATAAGCCCTGCAAGGTTATTTGCTGCGAGTTAGAGGGTGCCTCGTGCAGTTCAAACAGGTTAAAAGGCTCCAGCAAGCAGCAGCAAGCAGCACTCACATTCCCATGGGATTAATGCCCTCCCTGGGCTGGGGAAAATGCCTGTGGAGCACAAGAGGGAGGAGAATGACCAGCACAAAACCACTGGGATCGATCAGGGCTGCTGCCACATTTTCCAGAGGGTACAGGCTGCAAGTGGGGCTGTTGAAACAGGTTAAAAGGCTCCAGCAAGCAGCACTCGCATTCCCACGGGATTAATGCACTCCCTGTCCCAAGAAATCCCAACCATGGGCTGGGGAAAACGCCTGTGGAGCACAAGAGAGAGGAGAATGACCAGCAAAAAACCACTGGGATAGATCAGGGCTGCTGCCACATTTTCCAGAGGGTACAGGCTGCATGTGGGGCAGTTCAAACAGGTTAAAAAGCTCCAGCAAGCAGCACTCGCATTCCCATGGGATTAATGCCCTCCCTGGGCTAGGGAAAGTGAATGTAGAGCCCCAAACACAGGAGAATGACCAGCACAAACCCACTGGGATCGATCAGGGCTGTTGCCAGGGTTTCCCAGAGGGTGGGAGGCTGCAGATGGGGCTCAGCTCCCAAAGCCCAGGCGCTCCCCATAGATCTGAGCCCGGATGCCTCCCCGGGCACAGCGCGGTATCCGAGCCAGCAGGACAGCAGGGGAGGCAGGCAGAGAGCAGATAACATTCTCCAGAGTCACCTTCAGACTAAAAACAACCTCTCCCCCCGCAGAGGGAGGAGTGCCCGGGGTGTTCACAGCACTGGGACTTGCTCGAGGTGGCAGAGCCCTGCTGGGTTCATGTTCCTGCCTGGCCTGAGCTTTGTTTCTCGCTTTGGGAAGGGGGTAATTGAGGAGCTAACCCTCTTTTTTTTGCCATTTAAAATAGCTATTAAAGCTGCCCTTAAGCTTTGCACAGCCAGGTCAAAGTCAGGGTCCCTCCCACTGAGGGAGGCACAGAGTCCAGGCACAAACTGACCCATGGTCCGTGGGGTGAGCTGTTACCCAGTCTGCTCCATAAAACCAAACCTGAACATTGCTCAGAGGCCAAACCCCACTGTCCAGCCCCTAATCTCCATAAAACCAAACCTAAACATTGCTCAGAGGCCAAACCCCACTTTCTAAACCCCACTCTGCTCCATAAAGTCAAATCTAAATATTGCTCAGAGGCCAAACCCCACTCTCCAGACCCAAATCTCCATAAAGCCAAACCTAAACCTGCTGAGGGGCCAAACCCCACTCTCCAGCCCCTAATTTCCATAAAGCCAAGCCTAAACCTGCTCAGAGGCCAAACCCCGTTCTCTAAACCCCACTGTGCTCCCTGGAGGCACCAGCACAGCTCCACACCAAGCCCAGGCATGGCCAGGCAGGACATGGGCATTACACAACCCAAGGGCCAGCTCGGTTTTTGCCGGGTTTTTCCCACCCAGGGCAGGAATTGCCTCCTCTCCATCCCACTGGTGCCAGACCCAGGCTGGAGAAACCCTCAGGAAACCCTCGGAGGCACAGAAGGAGCGGGGATGTGGCCAAGCTGGGCAGCTCCAGGTGATAAATGTGAGGTTTAGAAGGAGAATTAAAAAGCAATTCTGTAAAAAGAAACTATTACAGCACACACTTTCCATGATTCACCCACTCCTTCAGTCTTAAGTTTCGGTTCTACCGTGCTGAATTAAGTGTGAATAGGCTAAAAATTGTTAAAGAATTCAAAACACCGAGCAGCCAGGACCAGCGACCGAACCGGGGCACGGGGAGAGCCCGGCCCGGTTCGCCGTGAGCTCCTCCCGAACCTGCGGGAGTGAAAGGGGGAATCCGGGAGGAAGAGCTCTCGGTGCCCACCGGGGGCTGCGGAGTCACCGGACCCGGGCAGAGCTCTCGGTGCC